CCTGGATTCCCTGTGTTTACAGTTCCTATCTGTACCCGTGTACATCCTCTGGTATAGCAAGATTTGTAAGCTAGTATTGGGATCATGATAGTGGGGGCATGGTGTTGGGGGGAAGCATTTAGGAACTAGAGGAAAGTTGCATGCTTCATCACCCTGACTGGTTCATTTCCTCCCTGTGACCCTTCCGTAAGGGGATGTCCAGTTGGCTACAGATGGTCTTTGGGTCCCCACTCTGCACTTCCCCTCATTCACAGTGATATGATTTCTTTGTTCTTTGATGGCTGATACCTGATCCCTTCAAGACCTTGTGATCACACAGGCTGGTGTGCTTCTTCCATGTGGACTTTCTTGCTTCCAAGCTAGATGGCAGCTTGTTTACCTTCAAGGCTTTAAGACTCCAGATGCTATATCTTTTGATAGCTAGGCACCATCAACTTTCTTCACCACATTTGCTTATGCACCCATTCGTCTTCAGTGATCATATCGAGGCCATCAATCTTTAGGGGAGTAGGAAGCTTCCCTTTTCTTCTCGGGAGTGAGTGGTGAATTTGAACTGCTGACTTTGTCTACAGCAGTCCAAAGGTTACCAGACAGTATCACCAGTGCTTAGCTTGGAGGGAAGAATTTTGAGTTCATCCAGAAGATGGAACCACCTGTCATTTAGAATGACACCTAGCCGCTGTCAGGAGAACAGCCTAACACTAACAGCAGCCATCCTCTTTAGCACATGTTCGGTGCCCCTGCCACACCACCAACACCATGGGGGAGAGAGAACACACATTTACAAAGGAAACCAAGAGCCCGCCATGGGCATCTTTTCAATCTTCTTAAAAAGCTTGTTGCAATTTTTGAGAATCAAGGGAACAATATGCTTGATTAGTTCTTCAGCAGATGTAGCAATTTTACTTTTCATATTTCTCTCCTTGAAGCAAGTTTGTTATTAACCTTGCATATTCTAGGACTTGAGATTAGATTCCCCAACCCCCACTCCCAAAATGGAATCTTTTGTTTTAAAGCAAAAGTATTTGCTTTAGGATCTTTTTTTTTTTAAACCACTAATAACCAAAACGTTTCCTTTGATCCAAGAAGATCTTTCTTTAAAGGGACTAAGTTTGTGGTGAACACAGAAGGATCTGCCCTTTCTTCTTGAAGGGAGAGTCCACAGAAGGAAAAGCTTGCAGGAAAGTGCAGTAATCATTGTGAATTAGGGTGAGTGCAGAGTGGAGACCCAAAGCCCATCTGTAGGCAACTGGACACCCCCTTACTGAAGGGTCGTGGGGAGGAGACGAGTCAGTCAGGGTGCAGGATATCAACAATGAAACATACAACTTTCCTCTAGTTCTTAAATCCTTCCTCCCCACCCACTATCAAGATCTCAATTCTACCTTACAAATCAGACTAGACCAGAAGATGTACATTGGTACAGATAGGAATTGGAAACATGGGGAATCCCAGATGGATGATCCCTTCAGGATCAGTGCTAAGAGTGACGATACCGGAAGGGTGGAGGGAAGGTAGGATAGAAAGGGGGAACCGATTACACGTTTCTACATATAACCTCCTCCCTGGGGGGTGGATAACAGAAAAGTGGGTGAAGGGAGATGTCAGACAGTGTAAGATATGACAAAATAATAATTTATAAATTATCAAGGATTCATGAGGGAGGGGTAGCAGGGAGGGAGGGGGAAAATGAAGAACTGATATCATGGGCTCAAGTAGAAAGAAAACGTTTTGAGAATGATGATGGCAACAAATGCACAAATGTGCTTGACACAACGGATGTATACAGGGATTGTGAAAAGATTTGTACAAGCCCCCAATAAAATAATTTTTAAAAATTTAAATAAAGAAAGTCCCAAGGGACTGGGTGATTCATCCAGGGTCAGTAT